AGAAAGAGGGCTCAGACAAGGGAGTGGGGGTAATGGGGAGGGAGGGGCGGAAGAGAGAGAGAGAGAGAGAGAGGGAAACAAGTGATAAGTGAGGAGAATGAGATACAGAAAATGGTTGTTCAGGGTGTTTCCATGCTGCAGGCAGACGTTTGAAATGCTGGACAAGGGTAATCATAAACAGGTGCATTTTTCCTGTATGTGCCTATCTATACACGCTGACAGGTCGGTGCTGTGTGGCACTGCAGAGGTGGAAAGGCTTGGCTCATTAATGAGCACCTCTTTAGAGTTTGACCTTTGAGAGGTCGCTGAAAGAGAGTTAACATTTGACCTTGAATGGAAACCGCTTTCAGGGCACAGTGCAGGACACACGGGCAACACACAGCACACAAGCCAATGGAGAAAAAGACATAAAGCACTGAAGGAATTGGCCAGTGGTGGGACAACCAGAGAAAATGAGAAAGAAATGTGGAGAGGAAGGGATCAATAGTCAAATAATGGCTTATCATATCTTAGACTAGTTCACATCTGAATAGTTTTATCTAAACTGAGACCCCAGGACACTTTCTTTTGCCCTTCCTTTTGTCTGAGAGCAACTTAGCTGCACAAATACAAGTCAAATATCTTCCTACAAAAACAATTAATGCCCTTCTTCATCTGTCACTCTGTCCTGGGCAATGGTTCAAGTCAACTATTTTGTTTGGACAAACATGCATAAAATGAAAAACAGGAACAAATACAAAATAACATGAACAAAATAGCTGCTCCAAGCTAAACGTCTATTACAGCCTCTCTCTCATAACGTGCATTCTTCCCTTCCCCGGTCTGTACATCTGGTCTTATGCCCCAGGACATGGTTGGGATATGAGCTGAGTGTCACTGGAATGGCCTGAGCAAAGACACGAGCTTCACAAGAAGATCCCTCCGCGACCCCAATGAGACAGACTTTAGTAATAACATTTCCAAGGCGGGTGAGTCAGAGGCAGCTATGCAAACCCATAGTAATTACTGCTGTGGGCCAGTGCAAGCGCTGCCAGGATCCTGCTTTAATAACATCAAGTGCTGAACAGCTCATGCATAAAGGGAAGCAGGCAAAAACATAATAAAAAGCATTGGTGTTTTTTTCAGTATAAAGAGTGCTAATACTGAAGGGAATGAGTTGGAGGGTTGTAGAAGTGACAATGGGAATGAAATCAAACCTAATGTCAACACAAAAGCACGGCCGCTTTGTGAAGCCATGAAGCACAGGGAGAGCTCTGGATATGGTATATTGTGCTGGCTAACGAAAAATGAACAATCTGTTTTCTGTTTGCCTTAAAGTGAAATATCGCCCCTGAAACAGAATTTACACGCTCCTATTATGTGGGACAGTTACCTGATGAGCCAGGCTATAGCGCAGATGCTGCAGATGTGGAGCTTATAAAGGAATAATCTGTAATTATATCAAGTGAAAAAGAGAAAAAACTCTTAATAATAAATAAAGTGGGTGAAAACAAATGTGCCACCAAGACACCTTACACCTGGCGATATAATATATAGGATTGTTTCTTTGTTTTACTTCCCACATCATGCATGTGGACCACACACACACACAGCTACTGTGGAGCACAGACATCAAATCCAAAACACCTTGCGGAGATACAAGAATGTGCTGTCATCTTTATGTCACCAGAATAAGATTACACTTTGCGATCGGTTCCACCTGGTTGTGACCGGCTGTGACATGGTGTGACCGGCTGCGACAGCCAGTGGTACATCTAGAGTGCGACTGCAACAGAGATGTGCTGGGACTGTCAGGTTAAGAGGTGTCACGGTGAGACAAGTGTGCTCCTATGACAGTCTGGTGTGAAAGATGAAGGATAAACATGTGGTGGCCAGGCAGTGTGTGTACCTAACTGGTGTCTGTTACGGTCCCTTGGCCCAGTAATGTGAGTGTGTGTAGCAAGGATATGAAGCACCTGTCATGCCTTTGCAGCGGTTTGAGCTATGTATCCCACAATGTGCCAAATACTTTCATGTAGACTGTTACTGGCAAGTTGCTGCAGAATGAAGTCAAATATACCTGTCAGAGTAATGGCAATCGGTTATAACAAAAAAAAAAAAAAAAAAAAAAAAAAAAAAAAAAAAATCGTAAAAAAAATCGTTTTTTTTCTTTATTTGTTTTATTCAGTGTTTTGACTTCACAGACGCTATTTAGAGATTCCAAATAAACTTTCTCCTTCATCTGGAAGACAAATATGTAGATCTTCCTCTCCCCTCCCCAGGTCCCTCTTCTCCTTTCCTTTACTCCTCCAACTTCAGTAATCCATTTCCAAACAATGCACACTCAAATGGACTTGAGCACATTTACTTAGGCTGGGGAGAGTGCTCCATCAACATCTTTTTAATGAAATCCTGAGAGAAACGATCTGCCCTGGATGTCTGCTCAAAGGGAATGAGAAAGGGAGTGAAGGAATGAGATGGAGAGAAAGAGGCTGAGAGATGGGGAGAAAAATAGAACAAAGAGAAAAAAGAAAGGGGGATTGGTGACCGACATGTTGGTTTCTCTGACACCCCTGGGAATCTCTGGGGAAGAGAAAGACAGGTTTTTTACCATATGTATACAATGAAGTCATGCAAAACTTGAGGGAAGCATTTGTTAGGGTTATATTTTATGTTAATCTCACATAAACTGGGAATTCTTTGAGTCTCTGTTTTTAAATTTGATTAAACAATTAATTCTAAAAATTTCTCCATACTGCGTGGGAAGATAAGAAAAGAACACAGTACACCAGGAATAACTCCCTTAACTGCTCTACTAGTAGAAAAATTAAGTCATTATCAAGACTAAGATATGCAAGCTTCATATTGCCAGGAACCATTCTGATCCCATTTCAAAAATAACTGCTGCCAGGAAATGTAATCCAATCAGGTCACAGTATATATTACAATACAATTCATCAAGAAAGAAACAGATGATGTACTATTTTAGTGACGTGATTCATTTATTTCTCATTATGTAGGGAGCAGTCTAATCTTGGAGTCACTGACTACCACACGATACTAACTCCACCTCAGTCATCTAATATTCTATCGTCTAATGATGCTACAGGAAAGTCAGAATAATGCATTTGTAACCTCAGTAAAATGTTTTACACATGATTCTATGCTATTAAAACACTTTGTGACAATGTTAATGTTTCATTACTCTTGAATATTATTTGAATATTACAGATTTAATTCTTGGTTCATCTGCAATTACAGGATCTGGAGCATCTGGGCTTTCGAAATTGGCTTGATAAATGAGTTTTAGTTCAGGACAGAGCAGCAACAAGTGAGCAGAGTAAACTTACATTGGAAGTATTTTGTTGACATTACATAAATTTGACTAGTATAATGCATGTTTTTGTCATGCCATTTATGGGTCTACTTTGAACTGATCTGGTGCAGCTCCTGTTTAGGCTGTTAAAGCCATAGCAACCTAACCATGGGGATTTGATTTTATATGAGGTTTTGAGGTTGTTTGCAATATTCTTTATTTATTTCATTTTGTAAAGGAAATGGACACACAGACCCTCTAGACTTCTGTCAGGAAAGCCAATCTCACTTGAGTTACTTTTTGGTCATTTCAGATGGTTTTATCACTCCACAGCTCCAGAGTCAGGTTAAAATAGCAATCCCTCACCATGTCTCCTATAGCTTTAAGCATTCTCTTTTTATTATTTACTCCAATAATTGTCCCCCTTCCCCAGCATCATTAGCACCTGACTGTGTTTCATTAAACAGAATTTCTAACTCCCACAAAGAATCCTCAGCAACAGACCTCAGCATCTCTAGCACGTACTGGCACAGTCATATTAAACCTAACAAGTGTTTCACTGTAATTGTACTATGCCATGCTAATATTAGAATGTGACCTTGACCCTATGATTCCTTCACAGGATGTGTAAAACATGCAATTAAATCTGCAGCAGATTTATCAAACTGCAGCTATAAGAGGCATGATTTTTTCTTTAATACTGAGACTTATATTGTCCCTCGTGTTGTTAAAGTTACTGGGGACATAGGTATAAAGTTACTGCTTGGTTGCCAACAAATGAATTTACCATTTTGTGATTAGTTTAATGTTTCACCAACAGTGAAGGCATCTCTTTTACAGACATAGCTGTACAAAGACCTCTTCATTCTGAATCCTGCATAGATGCAAATGCAGTCCAACAGCCACAGATGGCAAATCAATGGCCACCTGATACTGACTCTGCTAAACATGACAGAAGGTATAAATCAAGGCAGAGTGCTGTGAAGGTACCAGGTACAGTATGGGTCATGATTCTTTCTTTCTTGTTTTGAGATCATACACTACCTTCTTCATATTCGAATTCACTGTGTGGATATTTTATGCTACAACATTTATCACAATACTAAGCAAGTTAAATTCTACAGTCTGAATAACAAACATGCAAACATGTCTTTTCACACCATAGATATACAATCAAGCCTTAAAATATCTTAATCAGTTTCAAATACAAAACTAAGAGATAAAAAACAAGGCGGCTTGGCAGGACACTCAGACAGGAAGCCAGTTGAGGGTCATGCTTTGTCACTGGACTAGTGACTCGCACATTACGGTGTGTGGGGGACCTGTGCCAAACAGCACAAACCTCTCTGCAAGCTGTCACAATGAAACTGACAGATCACAATGTGTACGTACTAGTCTATGTGTGCCCCAGGCAGAAATAGCAGGATTATTATGGAAAAGGCCAACAATTACATTTATAAGTAAACGGGGGAAAAGTTTGGAGGTTCCAACCGCACATCACATCTCATCAGTGATATGATGTATCCCTGAACCATCTGTCAACTTCTGGCGATAACAGAGAATATGAATTTGAATTTCTGTAGTTTCAACCAGAAAAAACAAGAGCGTGCATTTGTTGTGGAATGTCAGCACTGTACGTGTACACAGGTTGCTTTTGAACATCAAAAATAGCCTACAGTCGACCTAGTTGACTGATGAATTTGTGCAGCATCAAAGAGAATGAGTAAACTGTGTACTCTGTTTTTAAACTGTTTTAAACAGTTTTTACCTATACCAAGAAATAAAGAAAGAAAAAAGCTTTTCATCTGAAAACATTTTAATATTACAAAGAGTAAACCGCATGCCTCTTGCTGACAATACTGTAGTGTGAAAGGGACAGGTGGTGTAGTGTGAGCTAGACAGAAAATGTGAGATTTGTATTTACAGTCACTCTACTAGCACCTTAATGAAAACAACTGCTGCCTTATTTAATTGCTTCTTAACCCAAATTTTGCTAAATCTGATCTCTGTACAGATTAACTTGCCTCTTTTCCTGAATTTGGCACATTTCCTCAGGGAACTTGTGGCTAAAACCCCAAAGGGTTTGCTTATTTATACATTATTTATACTGAGATACAGGATGCATTTTATGTTTTCATAGTAAAGTAACAGCTGTAAAAAAAAAATCTAAAACAATGTTTTTGTTCACTTTTAGTCTGGTCTATATGGGCATGTTCCTATTCAACTTCTTATTTACACAGAGGCTCTACCCCATTAACTCACAGTGTAAAAATATTTCACTACAAGTTGAACAGACAAGCCAAAAACATGCATGGGCCTGAAGCCAGAGAGATGGGGAAAGGATGCAAATAGACAACAGACAAATGGCAGAAACAACGGCGCGGTCCACAAAGTGTGAGCACTGGAGCGGAGCTGTGGGAATGTCAGTCAGGTCACAGGGATTTGACAGATGAGCTTTGTTACTGGTTCTGTGTGACCTCGCCTTTCAACCCGCCTCAGCCTCAATGACACAAACAAGCGCACACATACATACAGTATGTGCCCACACAAAGAAAGACACCTGTGGGACTCAGGTGTATACTCTGGAAGACTGCACAAATACATATTAACCACATACATGCCCACTCAGTCACACCATACATAATGTACACATAATGTGACATGCAAGGCAGATACGGCTTCTCCACAGCATCAGCTGAGGCACAAGCAGGAATTCCAGCCCTGTGAGCATGAACTCTCAATAGGCAGGGTAAAACCACTTGTCCCAGCTGTTCTTGCTGTTCATTGACATGCTATGCTCACACACCAAATTCTGGAAACATATAATGGAGCACTTATCTTTTATCTTAACTGCAAACAAAGTGCAATAAACTCCAATGACCATGTCCAGATCTGTGACTTTCACTCACCCATGAACACAAAGAGCAGTAAAACATATGGCTCATCACCACCCTGAACAAATGGAAATGGGAAAGAAGTGGACAGCTGGATGAAACGAAAATACAGATAAATGGCTGCATGAATAGGTGGTCTCTTAGACGGATTGATTTAATAATGAGAGTATTGTGAAGTTCTTCCTGGTTTGCAAGGGTTTCTAAATTCAGTCCTCTTTTTTTATTTGGTAAACAAGGTCACTCATGTCTTACCTGGACTTGTGAGGTGCCAACTGGCTAATTCTTAAAACAAATACATGAAAACCACGGCTGCAATAAAACATGCAATCTTCAGATTCATTAGCATGCATCACCTTAGCAAGACCAGTGCAGCCCAAAAATTGTCCAATAGGCCTAATTAATCACAACTTTGGTGAACAGCCAGCAGAGAGGGAGGACAGCCCCCTTCTGTCTGAAACCTCGACAACATTGCTTCAGAGTGAACCCACATCCAGGGTTAACACAATTACCAGCATGTCCTCCCAACCATACTTCCAGCATCACACCACGGGCACTGTAATTGGTGTGCCTAGAATTGCAGGGAAAAATTAGAAAAGCAGTAGAGGGAAAGAAGTGATTAATTTGCTGAAGGAGGAGGTCGATAGCGATGTAAATCACCGCGTGTCAGCACAATTTAATTTCCCCGATTCCCTCTGCCTTGTCTGCCACGCCAGCCTTACCCGCTGATTGGTTAGTGTCAGGTCATAGCTAAAGGTCATGGAGTGAAGGGCACCATGTATATCCTAATCACAGTACAGGACCTGTTGGACCCCAACCCCTCTGCCATGCTTGTTTGCATGATCCCCATATTACAAAAGATGAGGGTTCAATCTGTGGCAACATAAGCAAAATCTTCATTAACTGTCCTCATACGTTACTAATTACATTTATTTTTATTTGCAAACTGTCATATTGATGGATTCAATCACTTGATTTAGAAGGAACAAAAATCATTTTGAAACTGAAGATTTTATGTGGATGCTTATGATAATAAGGCAGCGCTCGGTATGAAAGTGAAACAGCCACAGCTTTGATTCTGTAAAAACACACCATGGAGTGTGTTACCATCAAAACAGCTTCAATGTTCAGACCTCACCTGCTCTATTGACTCTCTAGATTTGGGAATGCAACCAGGTTGCTTGCAAAATGCTGGCCACAATCTATAATCCAATCCTCACCTTTTCCACTCCGTTTTATTAGCAAACTCAGTGGAGCAGACAACAGAGGTGCTGCTCCTCTTTGTTGCTAAACACCCATTCAACCACAGGGGTCAAGCATACAAAGCAACCTATTCCTGGGAAGCAATTAGCTCTCAGTCAAACTAATGTGAGGTCAAATGTATAACATATCCTGCTCACACCCGGGCTACCACCTCCTGCCTAACAGCAACCTCCCATGAGCTTGCGCTGTATGTTGTGCATGTGTGTGTCCTAAAATTCTGACAGACAGCGGTTTTCATCTGAGCTTAGCCACAAAGGTGGGAATAAAGTATATGCACAGTACGTTCTTGCGTTCTCACCTATATTTAAATGAAGATGTCTTATTTTGAGAACAGGGTTGCATTGACTCAGGCTGTTTGACTGCATGCGGATGATGTCACGTTTTGTATACTGTATGTTCATATTTATCCATAACATATACAGTGCTACTACAATGCTGCACATTCAAAGTGTTCATGATGAATAATTTTCAAAAAGAGTACCTAAGGCAGTTTTATGAAATAAGTGAAAAATCTGTACTCCAGGGTGAGGCTGGCCGAGCAGGTAAAATACAAGGTTCAGTGAATTTAACATTTATTGTACTTAAGAATAATAAATCTACCTTTAGGTTAAACAGTTTTTGACCAGTTTTCCATTGGGATTTGCACCAAAATCTCAAAGCGGAGTCAATGATGTGATGCCGGATGCAAATGTGCCTGCGCACACCCACCCACACAAATACACTCAGAAACACATAGCACTGCTTATATGCTATCTCTATCTCTCTCTTGTCTCTCTCTCTCTCTTTCGCTCTCACACACACCAAAATAAAAGCATGTGCACAAACTCAGGCATGCTGGGAGTCCTAATGACCTAAGCCACGTGTTCGTGAGGGTTTTAAGAGTGTGTTTTGAATTAGGAAGAGGAGAGGCAGAAGATGAACTAACGATGGCTGCTAATAATTACAGATCTGTAGTGTGGAGGAGTTAATGAGGAGCCAAAGCCTCCCATGATGCCCCAGTAATAATGAATGAGGAATGAGAGAGAGGACAGAGAGAGGGAGAGAGAGGGGGTGGGAGCTGTCAGATTGAGAGGCCGCAATGCCCTCTGGTTTCTCTGCACTCTGGGCATGTCAACGTGAGAGGAGCCTTCCCAGAGGAGGCTTCTCTCAACACTAATGAAGATGTGACAGTCCTCCAATCCGTGACTTGGAGAATACAGTAAAGAGGAGGAAGGCGGATGAGGGAGAAGAGGAAGACAGCTCATATTAAATGAAAGGCACTGAAAAGGTAAAAGGTTTCTAAGACCTTCAAGAAGAATGAGACAGTGTCACTCAAAAGCAAAACTGATTAGAGTGATTGGTGATGGTCTTTAGAATATTTTAGTTGCTGTTTATGACAAAACATTGGCTGGACACTTCAAATACACACCACATGCAGATAAACACTAGATGAGTGAAAGAGATACTGTAACCCACTGTCACGCAAAGTAAAATGAACATTTGACAAGTACTCACCAGAGAGCTGGTATAGCTGGGATCAGAGGTGTCATCCTGGAGGTAGCGCGACAGGCCAAAGTCTGACACTTTGCACACCAGATTGCTGTTAACCAGAATGTTCCGTGCAGCCAGGTCACGATGGACATAGTTCATTTCAGAAAGATATTTCATCCCCGCTGAGATCCCACGCATCATTCCCACCAACTGGATCACTGTGAACTGTCCATCATTTTGCTAGAAGACAGACAGGAAAACAAATGAAAACTGCCTTTTTGGATGCTATCTTTGGTATGATTACCATAAATGAACAAGGCTGGAGGACAGAGAGAGATTACAGCATATCTGCTTTTTATTCTGATTCTTCACAGAAATGCTGTGCTAAAACCTTGAACGTTGTTATTTTAAATACCCAGTGTTTGAATCTGATTCAAACAAGATAAATTGCATTTGTGCTATTTTCTGATGTATTATACAGACAACATGTGTAGTCTTCAGAAATTCAGTTAGCATGCAGGCTGCCCAGTGGGATTTAGAGCCAGCCAGATGGTACATGCACATACAGTCACAAGGGCATAAGATGTGTTGTCGCACCTAGCATGTACAGAAGTGACAAACAGCCTAATGTACCTGCTTTTCCATTCAGCTTAGAAACACTCTTTTAAAGCAAGTATTGATGATACTTTTTTGGATTACAGTTATTTTTCCTTCCCCTTATTTAAATATTTTGTTGTTTACAGTTTGCCATTACAAAATCAAATTATCACCATCTTGAGCTTTCAAAGTCATTTAATGTCCCGAGGAAGGTTGGTATTAGCAAAGCAAAATGGAGTTGTGAAGCTACTCTTGCACACTTTAGGTATCAGGGCATTTTGCCATTGGGGCATGGAGGCATCCGTCTCTTTAACATACACACATGGTGTCCTACCCCTGTGTGAATGCTCTGAAGAGCAAGCTTTGAACCCCTGAAACACAGTAACAAATAAGAGGGTAGGGGAGATCGATGGAAACACAAGTCGGATGTGGCGGTTAGCAAAGCCAACTTCAAAGAGCCCCTTTAAACCCACCCTAGATCAAAGTGGAATACAACACCGATCCATGAGATTGAGGGAGGAAAAAAGCGAGCTGAATATTGAATACGCTGTATTCCTGCTCAATCCTGACTATAAAAGAAAGAGTGAAGAATCCATTAATAGGTCCAGGCATCGATAGTAAAATTAAAGACTGATAGGACCAGCTATGTGGAAATTAAATTAAGAATGATTAAAATCATGTCCGTTGTCATGAAACATATTCTCTATTGGTGATGTATAGATTAAGAAGGCTTATTCCAGTTTGTGTTTGGAGGGATTGTCAGCATGAATTCTTTTTTTTCTGGGACAATTTAATGATTCATTTCCAATTTGCTTCCTAGATGTATAAGGCAAGGTCTCTCTTTAACTCCTAGACATGCCTTTTGAACACCCCATTTAACTGTTTCCAACTTTGTATCACACAGTACATGCATGTTTGCACACAAATTACTCACCCTGAGAAATGAGTCCAGTGCACCGTTTTCCATAAACTCTGTGACAATCATGACTGGGCGGCTCTTTGTGACAACGCCTTCTAGACGGATAATGTTTGGGTGGTCAAACTGGCCCATGATTGATGCCTCAGACAGAAAGTCCCGCCTCTGCTTATCCACATAGCCAGCCTTCAGGGTCTTGATGGCTACATAGATCTCCCTCTTACCAGGCAGCTTCAAACGGCCCTTGTACACCTCTCCAAATTCACCTAGTGGGAAACAGAGGTGTACTGTGGTTGATTTATTTTTGTCTAAATAAAACATGATCAGACAAAAGCTTAATAGAGTTGAATAGATTCAAATCTATTTGTTTATCAGGGTTATTTGCATCCCTTATCCTGTGGCAGAAATAGTTCCCATAGTGCTATCATCTGTCTCAGTTCAATCCTCTGATGTTGCCCCTTCAAGATGTTCTGAACAGTGTGGCTCCTCTGACTCACAGTAGCCATCCCTCCTAGGAGCCTGCCAAGTGTGTTCATATTCCCCAATCAAAGAATAACAGGCAAGCACTATCTGGTAAATATCTGGAAACCATTTGATTAATTATCACCACCTTGGTGTCCTGCAGAGACACCATACAGTGAAATCAACAAAAACGGAAATCTTTAATTAGCTAGTCCTTACCCCTATCCTATCTCTGTCACTTTCTCACACCTAGCTTGCTGAGTAGGCCAGTCTGCAGGAGTAATTACAGGCCCAGTCTCATTACCAATGGTATTTTAGCTTCTGTATGATCCAACACATATGGTATCAGCAGTCTGTTTAAAAAAAAAAAAAGTGTGATTGCTCCAAAAGAATCAGTCATATTAGGCCAAAACTATTTTAGCCTTCAGTTGCCCATAATTTACTCATAAAGCAGTGAGCCACTTATTATTCATCAATGTTAACAGATATAGGAGATTATTGTGAAACAAGAAAGAAAACAGAATACTTTTACCTATTTCATATGTAAAATAAATGAAAAGGAATGATGCAAGACATAACGTTAGAGAGCCACACTAACAGGGTCCAAAAACAGTAGAAGCACAGGGAATAGGCTGCAAGGCTTGAGTTATTTCTAATGCCATTAGATCCCAGGGTAACTGGCCTATATGCTGCTAGTGCCTTGACATGGGCCTCTGACATGCTCCCATCTGATATGGCTGCCAAAAGGCCTGGTCTTAACAACAGTGAACAAATTCAGGCTAAACTTGTTTGCACGCAAACACATATTTAATGCACAAAAACATAGCAGTCGTCACATCGCACGTACATGTGCGCACGTAAGCACACACTTACACAAATTGCTCTATAACACACTTAGCATACCTGCACCAATAACCTCCTCGATCTTGACAGTGGAGACATCAATCTCCTTGGCGAACTCGCGTACAGCTTCATTGGGGTCTTCGTAGGTAAAGGGGTCGATGTAGATCTTCATCCCCGGGGAGCCTGAGAAGTGGGTCGGGCAGCCCAGTGGGGAGGGGCAGTTAGACATGTCGGCTCTCAAAGAGAGTTCTAGAACAACCAAAGTGCTCAATAAGCTTTCCAGAAGAAGAAACTGTTCTTTTATCCTTTGTTAATGGTTGATGAATGTAACCACCCTTCTAACCACAGCCTAAATCACAGTATGACACAGCATTACTTACAATCACTACAAGCTTTTAACAGTTGTAAATGATGATAGCTACTTTAAGGTCCTCCTCAGAGACAGGCAAAAGCACTATAATATGTAAAAAGAATACTGCAAGCATTAGAGAGTATATGTGGATGATTACAGGGACAGCCTCAGCTCTGAGTGGTGCAGGCAACACAATGATGGTTTGGTGGTTCAGTACTTGGGAGAGGGAAACAGACCAGAAAAGACAGAGAGAGAGAGATGAAGTGGTAGAAGGAGGGATTAGGGTAAAGAGTAAATGCAGACAGTTTTTTCACCCTTTTATCCCTTACCCTAGCAGTATCTGCTCTTTGATAGTGGTAAAACCAATTTCCCAGTAGCCTTTCGCTATAGCAGCTCATAAAGAGATAAAACCACCGTGCTATCAACTAGCTCTTTACGCCATTCTGCGATAGGTGAGCTCAGTTCACAGACTGTAGTTGTCTACAAATGGAGGGCAGATTTTGTGTTGACACACCAGGCGGGGGAGACCGCCGAAAAGCACTTGTAAACAAATTCAATACAAGCTGCCACATGACGGACATTACAGCGAGCAAACAGACGTCAAATCATCATTTCTACAGTGACACCTGAGGGCAGCTCTCTTTCTCTGAGCTGTTTAGTCAAAACCTTGGCAGCCATGATTGGAATAAACCTATCTCCATCAAGTCAATTTGTGCCTGTTCATTTGCATATCCACACAGAGAAGGGAGGGGGTCTCAGGAGACAGCAGGAGTATAAGGTCTGGTCTTAGAGGGATCAGGGTGTGTCATCTCCCTCTTGGCTAGAAGCTGATTCTAGTTACCACACTAATTGCCTTGAACCCTGTCTGTGTGAATGTAATTGCTCATTAGAGATTCTATACAGATTGGATTCAAGTTAATCCATCAAGGGGTTTACAGCTTTGCATTCCATACACTTGTTCTGTTTCTATGTGTCGCCAAGCTGCTCACTCAGCAGCACCGCTGGCCAGGACTCTTAATCTCAGCAGGGAAGCATATATAACAAAAGACATATAGGAACACACTTAAAAACGCAAGCAAATATGAAAGCAATGACCACATACATCCATTGCTTTTCTACTGCACAGTCCAGAGCCCGCTTTCATGTATAATTTAAAGTAGACACAGTTCATCTCTCTCCCTCTCGCTGGTAGAGCCCTGGTTAACTGGACTCATCCTTTTATGGCTACTGGATAAAAAATACATTTCTCTTTTAATATTTCATAGGTCTTTCATCTTAGTGTGTGAAGCAAATGTATCCAAATGCCACTTCTATTTTTATCCAATACATAAAACAACAAGCCTGCTGGGAGAGAGAGAGCTGCTGCAATTACTCACGCACACATACAACCATTTCTTACCTTTCTCAATTAGATGACCAAACTTATTAATTTGTTGAATTTGGATTATAAATCTCAACAAGACCCTTAGGCTGTGACACAAATGGTTATAGAGCTAAGAGTATTGAGTTGAATGGCATTATAAATTACAGTTTACTGCAATGCACTTAACCATGTTATTTTCACCAATGTCCAACATTTACTCTGCTATTAGTCTGCCCTGCTCATTTACTGAATGGGCCTAATGTATCCACAAATCAACTGTACAGCAGTAATGCTAACATGAATCTATTACCGGCTAGAGGTACAATCAAATTAATGGTCCTGCTGCACAGAATCTAGCCTACATGTTGCCTAAAGACAAACAGCAGTGTTAGAATGTGAAATATTAGCTTAAAAAAAAGCTCTTCTTTTTGAGTTAAAGGAACTTTTTAATATGTTAGTCTTTCACCAAGGCAACATCATTTCTTCTAATTCCTTTTGCGTGACAATAATTGTAATTTAGCAATTTCACTGGATAGCAATTATATGTTTTATGTGATTATCCACTTTGAGAAATTAACATAAGCCATTGCAGAACACTGTACGCCTATAGTGAATACGTTCCCATTTCCTGAGAGTTCAAGATGCATATTAATCTATTCTGAGGCTCTGCGCATGAATGAGTGGAGTTTACTTCCTGAACACAAACTAATTATCCATCGTTTGATGTTAGAAAATCATTTGTCAGACACACACTGTGGCTTATTAGTATGGAAAACACAGAAGGGATCTAAAAATTGTATGGGATTAACAGTCACATTGGTACAGCCAGTAAAATGTTTGTGTGGGTTTATCAGGCATGTGGTGCCTTCTGCAAGTCTGCACTTTGAGAAAGATAAAATTTTGATAAGTAAAATAAGGTCTGACCTACAATACTTAGAGTGATGATAAACCCACACAAATGTCACAACATCTACAGATGCATAGTAGTTTTATTTATGCCTTAGCTAACTCTCTGGGCTCACATGTATATGCTGTATGTGATGTGCAGGAAACAAGAAAATAACTGAAATACAAACATTTAACCATAGATTTGTTAATGGGCTTCTGAATTCCATTCACTGTGAGCACCAGATGCTGAAGCACAAACAACAGCTGAAGCTACAAAGCGACAAACAGGATTCAAACATTTGTGATTTAAGATATGTTGGTAGTCATATGCAGAGAAGCATAAAAGCATACAGCAAACACACAGTTCTCAAAAATGTCTATAATTTGCTGACTTTGTCATGTTGTTGGGAGTGTGGAAAAAAAGTGAATGGATCCACTGAGAGAAACTGGAAATGCCCAGTGACGTGTGTCATATGTGAGAATGAAAGCTGGTGATACTGATGATGCACTTATGCATTTATGGGGGCAATTAAAACAAAAAGGTTTCAATTCATTTGTGAGAATAATGTGTGTGCTCATGTGTCTCTTCCAACTTGTTTGTAGAGCAATCGCACCTAGCGATTAGCGTCATGTTAAAGGTCTGATTTTCATTAACCATGGCCATTCAAGCTGCATTACTGAATTTACAGTATGAGAGGCATCCCTCTTGATGCCTGTCACATTAGGTGGAGACATCACCTGACATGTGTGGTAACAGCTGGAACAGTAGGCAGCTGGATGAAAGCCAGCAGCACATATTTGGAGATGCACCCAAAACAATTGGCTGAGCAGCACTATTTGACTGTTGTGGTGAATACTGTAATTACAAAACTGTCAGTCAAATCTTGAGAGAATGGAAGACAGTGCATCTTGGGCTGGGGGGATTACCTCACGAGTGTTAGCGTCGTGAAGGTTGAAGGAATAAACCTGTGAACGGGATCTCTTATCAGTGTTTTATTTCCTTTCCACTTCAAATTACTTATTTGATGATTAGGGCTGCAAGCGTTTTGATCTTTTGTTTATTTTCACCACTTATGTTAATTACATTTGGTTTTCCAAAGATAGCCTCTGACAAACTGACTCTCCTGCCCACAGCGGTTTTAATGAGCCCCGGCTGCCACTGTGACACAAACACAGCTGTTACACAAAGTAACTGTGTTGAACCGCTTTGCTGTGTCAGGCTCAACAAAACTCTGTCCCCTCGAGTGAGAACCCCTTTTCAGACTTCTAGGTCAGCAGCACACAGGGCTTTCATTTGAGGTACAAAATGTTCTTTTGTGTGTATGTTTTTGTCTGAGATTAGATGTGTGTCCCTGCAGGCTCCTTTCCCTCATCAGTCGGTGGCAGGGGATCGCTAAAAACATGACTCAATCATGGCTATCAAACAGCCTGGAGAGATGACTGTCAGTCAATGTCACTGTGTAAAGGAAGAAAAGTGTCATTAACATCCACAGACGCCTACAACCTGAGGTAATTTCTCTTTTACCTTACCTCTTTTTCATTAATGCATTATACAATACATGATATAACAGCAGGGGAGGACTGGGCAACAAAAAAAAGGAGTTGTAGCAAGTGTGTATAAAATATATATGTATCACCACCTATACTGCGCAGTAGTCTAAATCTCTAATTTTAACAATTGGACATGTGCAGAAATGCACCTGGGCCTGCAACTAAATAAACACAGTGGTAGATAATCATCCTAACTGGCTGATGGCTGCTGTAATTCTTGGATTATACCTAAATCTTTTAGTTGTAGGAGTAGTACACTGTGGTAAACATACTGTTTTATTCAGTTAGAAATGGGTGATACCTCCATCTTGAACCATGAAATCCAGGAAAAGTCTCACATTTTAAGAGATTTAACAGCCACATGGCAGCCAAAATCTGTGATATAGTTTTTAATAAATCCCGCTAAGTAATAGACAAATAAATATAAAAATATGGGGTTAAAATGTTGGATTAAAAACTAATCACTATACGAGCTAGTATAAGGACAGACTCACCTCTTCCAGTGCTGTAATGTTGCAACTTGTCGCTGTACACTGCCTCCTTGGTGTATGCCCTTTTCCTGAGGAAGCAAAGAATATTTAGAGGGTAAAAAGAGAGATGACAGGATGAAAGGAAGTGTAAACGAGGCCTTATTACTCTTCATGTTTCTCTGTATGGCCTGAAAATAACGTGGCTGAAATTGAATCCGTTGCAACGGGTTAGCAATGGCAAATGAAGTTTATAAAAATGAGCTGATTTTTAATTAGACCTTGATAGGATCTCTCTGCTTTTCATCTGTCTCCTCTGCCTCAGCATCAAAAGAGCCTGGCCCCTTTGATGAACCCTTTAGTTGCTCAAAGATGTGCACAGCACTGCAGAAAATGTGACTTTTATATATCTAAAGCAAAGCCAGATAGAAATATGACAATGTGGCAAACTGCTGCAAAATGAAATTGGCTTGTCATAAGTAAGTTAACTGGGCAAAGTAGAAGTTACTGAATATTCTGAACTGAATATGTATGCTGACAATATAATGGCAGAAGTAGGGTGAATATGTTAAATTCATTCTGCATGTATGAAAAGAGACAGAAAAAGGAAAAATGTGGCTACCTGCTGCACACAATGGAGATAGCAACAAGGGAAACAATAAAGACCACTCCTGCTGCTGCTGACCCCGCGATCAGGGGAAGCTGTTCCTTAAGCTCCGATTTGAAGTCATCTGAGTTACACAAGAGAAAGACAATTGGAAAAACACAGAGAATGGCTTAGGGAGAGCTTAAGGAGCACGACTGTGTTTATTTGGAGCTGTGTATGTGAATGTTTGTTTGAGAGGTAAAGAGAGAAAGGACGAAGAGAGCAGAATGTTTAGACTGGGCATACTGATGGATAAAGAAAACATACAGATCTATGTAGTGAGAGGGACTGATGGAAATCTGGTGAGATATGGAGAGACTGACTTACAAGTTGTGTTTGATAAACAAGAGAGAAAGAGAGGATGAGAGAGCAGGATAAAACCGATGGTGAGAAAGAGTGAGGAGTTATCTCAGTCTGTTGAAATATCTGTCAGAAATGAATTTCTCAGGTACTGAAAAGGAAGTCATCCACTGCCAATCACATATGCAGCCTAAGCATGTTTTATGTATATAGCTAGGGCAGGTTGCTGGTAGTTCCTAAATGCCTGCCTAAAAATGCTACATGGCAGAATCCTTTCTGTGCCTGTCTTCCTACGACTTTGGCACCAGCAAACACTGTAGTTAAAGCAATGCACGATTTAGCATGCTGCAGGCAAATCAACAGCCTCCAAATCCAATCCCCTGTGTAGTATGGGCCTATTGGATTAAAGTGATAAAGGGAGAACTAATGCATCTTTGGAGCAGTGCAAGAGCTGGGATATATAAGGAAACTCAGTGTGACAAGAATTGCTCACAGTAACTTGCACATTTATCAATCATCAACAAGCAAACGGTATGAATGATGTTCCAGCTCCTCAAGCTTCCAGGCGGTCTTTTGCTCTCTTTTGATGCATATTAGTCGTGAGAAGTTCAAATAAATCGCCCCATCACCCATATGAAAACAGTGATTTTCCCTGACAGCCAGAAATCACACAGCAACCTGTTCCAGCAGTAAAAGGCTCCTATTACAATCAGCTTTTGAAGCACTGGCCTATTAGAGAACTGGAGATCATCAGTCACCTTAGTGATGGACACCTCACATCACATTTGTAAATCAAGTCTGCATTGCTTGTCATTATGTGTGTGTGTGTGTGGAGGTGGCAAAAGGACGCCTTGTAGAGGTGTATGAAAATGACAGGAAGACAAAAAGGAGGTTTATACAGTCATGGCCAAAAATATTGGCACCCCTGCATTTCTGTCACATAGCGCACCACTTCACCAAGAAAACTGTTGCAAACATAAATTCTAATGTGGAATGTGTCACATTTGGCTTGTTTTTCTTTGCTTTTTGTGTTGTTCCAATGCAAACAAAGGAAATAAACACGAATACCGAAGAATTTGTAATTGCAACAACTTCCTGGGAGAAGTGATGCGTTATGTGGCAGAAATCCAGTGGTGCCAATATTTTTGCAAATGACTGAATGTTTTTCTGAAAGACATGGAAGAGAAGCAGTGGTTGGATACTGAGGTGGCATCTTCATGAGACAGTGGACTGGCTTTGACAGGTGGAGAGGAAACTGGTAGAGGGGCAGAAGGTGGAGCTGCAGGTGTGATTGTCAGCACTTCTCTGGCATCTGCTGCTAATTGCCTTGAGGAATACTGTGCTATGGCAGCGAGCCAACAAATAAACCATAAACAGTGTTTGTGCGAGTAAGTGAGAAGCATGTATGCATATGTCTTTGAGGAAAAAAGATCATCTGTAACCAGGAGGGACAGCAAAGGGGCTGTGGCTGTGCCACTATATCTGCTCTGCACAGGTAAAGAGCCACAATGATCTTCATCATCATTATTATCCACCCCATCCTTCTCTCTGTCAAGATCATGAGCACCTCATTCATCGTTGTCGTTTTCATTAGCACAATTCAATGTGGAAATGTCACCCTGGTCTTTGATACATTATAAGCTAGGGCCACATGTGCTTAGTGGGTTCATACTCCAGCAAGGCACAATGAGGGATACTGAGGGAGTATTACACATCAAATTTTTAATTCATCCAGATTCAACCAGGCTGTGTTAATGTTTAGTGCCATTTTTACTGTCTGGCAAGGTTATGAAGAAGTACAGCATGAAGAAGTGACATGCGACGCCACCGTCACCAACTCTCTGCACACACACACGTCGCTGCACTTACACTGACAAACATCATTCCACAACCTTGCCAGTGTAGCAGGTGTTGCAGCCCATCTTCAGCCTCTTCCCTCTTCCACAGTCCAAGCCCCCCCATAGCAAAAAAAAAATTTATCTCATCAACTACTAATCACAGCTATGCATTCTGGGATGGCTCTCCAGCAACAGAAGGGCTGGGTGAAAAACCAATTAGCTAAGCATTTTGGATCGCGTGCATTTAGTTGCACAAACAAAAGACACTCAGTGTTGTACATATTCTGAGCACCCACACGCATACACTTAAACCTGGCAGTGAAGGAAATTAATTTAGCTGTAGAAATAGAAGTGCAATCAAACATTACGGTTCCCCTCTATCTCACCTACTAATGATAATGCAACAACAAATACAAAGAGAGAAGAGTGTTAGAAAGCGTTAGGGTGTAGGTTTGTGTGTGAGAGAGAAAAAAGTGAGGCAAGAATAGAGAGAGCCAAAGAGAGATGTGTCTCCTGGCGCGGCGATCCTTACCATCTGTGAGGGTTTGGAAGCACATCTTGCTGCTGTATTTGCCAAAGCCAGCCACAGTCCGTGCCCGCACCTGTACCACGTACACTGTACCCGGCCTCAGGCTCTCAACGCGTGCAGTATTAGTTTGGCTCCGCAGGATGGTGGAGTTGATCTCTGCATGGTCCTTAAAGGAGCAACAAACACAGGGAACAGGTTAGAGGTGACTTGCTGAGAAGACATCAGTGGGAAAGTGTTAACTCACACAGTCAAGAAAACTGGAGTGAAATACAGTGAACAGGGCGGTAGCAGAGGCTCAACAGTGAAACAACAACAAAGCTTGCAAACACTGTATAATCCAGAAATAGCATTGGAAAAGTGGACCAAATTTAGAGGAAATTTCCCTGTGGACCCCCCCCCCCCCCCACTCGTATATAAGAGAAGCAGCACATTTTAAAATATGTATATATGCAAACTGTTGTTTAACCAGTAAGGGCGTTATTATGATTAAATGTACACATATAATTTTGATGTCACAACCTCAGAGCAGACGATCCCTCGTGCACCCCCACTCATCTCTGGCACCCCCCTAAGTGGGGCCCGGACCCTAGTTTGGTTATCATGGGTTTAGACTGTACATTTTAGTTGATGTAAACCACAGATATACTAAATGTAGTGTACCTCTGATACAGTCAGTATCAATTTACCACCACTCAGATAAATATAATTGGAAACAGACGGTAGATAAACAACAGTAACAGAACAAAAAGCACAGCAAAACTCTTAAAGGTGATGTTTTAAGGGTCTGCTGTGAATGTTGATCGGCATGGTGCTGTAACATGCTTTTTCATTTGAAGCCATAACAGTAAGCTGATGTACATTAAAAGACAAACACAAGCACACCAAAGACACAAACAGTATCTCCCTTTCACACTGTAACATTCATACATAAAATGGCAATTAAAGGCAATCCCTTCGTGCCAATAATAAAGAGCAATTCTGAACAGTAATAGAACACCATCGTATATTTGTCTCTTCATGTGTGCTTTATGAGGCAATTTAATCACTGCAAGAAGTTTTAGCATTACATCTGCTTGTTTTGTTGTCTGCAGTAGGTTGCTATTTAAATGTGACAGCTGGCCAGTTTTCATTCAGTGAAATGCTTTAAAATTTCAGTGTAATCGCTATTTTTGTAACATTTTATTTAAATATATCATCTTTTATGCACACTTTTATTTTAATTTGAAATGAGATCCTCTCAAAAGTTTTATACTCATGTATGTGTCTGTACAGATGTCTATTGGACATCTGTACATCTATAGACATGGAGGTATATTGCCATCCATTACATATGCATACATATGAATGGTTGGGACCTGCCCTCCAAATTCTGCATCTTAGTCTCTCTCTCTCTCTCTCTCTCCCTCACCTTAGGAGAGCTAGTCAGACAGTTTGCTGCAGTGTAGTTTGGGGCGTGTTGGAGGTATCTGCTATGGGGGATCAGTAATTACTTAGGGCTGTCACCTTCCTCTAACCCAGAATGAATATGACAGCCAGAAAATAAGACTGCACCTACACTACGCCCACCACTGCAAGCTGCTGATAGCTAGATGCAGGCATACTGGAGAGAAGGAGGTTGCAGTCAAGAATGAAGGGGCAAAATTCCCTGTGTCAGTGAAACAGTGAAACCAGAGGCAGGTTGTTTTTAAGCTTGGTAAACACAATATTGTTTTATGCTGGACTATATGCTATAATACATGTATGTCTGCTCTGAGAAGATATGAATGAAAAATCCGAGTTGACAAGAGCATAAAGTGCAAAAAGTAGAGGCAAGAAGGAAGTAAGGGAGGAAGGAGGAAGGAGGAGGGAAGATGAGGGCAGGAAGCGATACAAAACTCCAGGCAGAAGCAACCCACAATGAAATCATTATCCAATCTGATTGGTGTAATTGAATCATTCCGGTTGCTCCGTCACTAAGCAGACGAGGTAAACACAAGTATGAAACCTGCCCCCCAACCCCCACCACATAATAATGTGGGCAATCACATTAGCTATTATTGGACACTCTGGGCTTGATGAAGACAAATTTTTGGGCTTGGAATGGGAGAGTATCAAACCAAATGTAGCTGGTTAGAGAGTTTTATCATTTCACGGACCTTTTGTCCATTAAATCACACGTTCTGTCCTTTCTCCAGTGTGCTGTGATACAAATACTCGACAATTCTGAAACTTCACATCAAAGCAGCAGCTTGTTTGCTTGAAAAACCTGCAGAAGACATGAGGCCCCACGAGACACTGGAACTTTAGTCCTGATATTTAGTTGGTATAAGATATGGTTGAGTGCATACGGACCATTTGGAGTCAGGATTTACTGCTCTCAGTCACTCCGCGTTTCTCAAGACCACGCCCCCATCTGTTGAGTTTGAATGGAAGACAGGTGAGCAGACAGATGGAAAACTGCCAATGGGGGAGCATCCCTTGAGGGAGCACCAACAAGGAATAGCCCTTCCGTGCTGCCAGTCAAATGGGGATTATGTGACACACACACACACACACAAATACACACCCACATCTGCCACTTTTAAACGAGCTGGCATTTGGTACTCAAGCAGGTTAGGGGATAGCCAATAAAAGGCCATGCCAGGAGGGACGTCCAGCCATGAGAGGTCCTCTCCTGCTGCCAGTCAAATGGGGATTAGGGGGACCACACCCTAACTTGCTAAATAAAGACAGAGCTGCAAGTGGGAAGGCAGATGGTAGAGCAGCCAATCAAAAGCATTGCCAGGGGTGACAGACAGGAAACACTGTGGGAAGTTTAGCCCCTACTGCTTTCAGTAAAATCACTGAGACAGAGGCTACTTTGCAAGAACGGTCATCCTAAGAAATACAGTTTATTGGTTACTGACTCCAGATGCTTTCCATGTTCTAAATGATGGGGACACACACACTTTTTACATTTACTCCAGCAGGGAGCTTTAATAAACCTTCACTCTCCCTCTAAAACAGATGAGCAAGAACCCACTGTACCTCACCTACATGGCTACTTCAGTGTGGAGCCACATAGCTGATGCTGAACTTATTTGGAAATATTTAATTGGACCCGTTTTAATTTTATAGGAAGTACTGTGCTGCATTTAATAGATTTAATGCATTAGCCATGACCATAACCATGGTGCTGGAGTGCTAGGAGTCCAGTATTATTATTATTTTTTTTACCTGTCAAATCTTTCAATTCATTTTTTGTAATTGCCAATTTCCTACCATTGCGTTGTGCTGCTAGCAGACTGCAGAGGGGAGATTTCTTTTTGAATTTCCTCTCCGCCACGTTTCGCCTCTTGTTTCCTAAGGTCAAAAACCATTACTCTTGTGGGCCCATAAAGGCCACTGAGATATTTTATGTGATATTAGACTATAAAAATAAACTTGAGTTGACTTCACTTCACTTTACACGTGTGTGTGGGTGCATGTGCGCACCTGGCATTACTCATTACTAAAACCTGTTTACACACTCACACTGTGGAGACTCAGCCTTATTCGTGGGGACCAGATGATTGCATTTTATGGGCAGGGTGAGGTTATGTGTTAGGCAAGTAGTGGTTATGGTTAATGTTAGTGTAAGCTTCCAGTAAATTGGGGTTTTCAACCAGTGGTCTGCAGACCCCTGGTGGTCCATGAAGGCATGGCAGTTGGTCTCTGACCATGTATTCAGTGATGTAGTTTCACTGTGGGCACTATTTTTAAATGTATTTTTAAACACATTTCTATCTATGAATTATTGTTTGTGAATAATCAAACTATGCAAATATATACAATTTAGAAAGCCAAGGTGATTTTAATGATTAAAATAGTACCCATCTAGTGTAGCCACCCCATAACAGTGCTCTTTAATTACTTTCTTAGTCAGAATGGTGGTCCCTGGGTCACAGTGGTTTGAAAACACCATGCAGTAAATCAGTGTGTGAGTCAATGTAAAGTCCCATAAGAATATGAAAACAAACGTGTGTGTCTGTCTATCTCTCTGTCTGTCGCTCTGTCTGCCTGTCTGTGCCAACCACCCAAAATGGACAGCATGGCTGCCTGGCAAAAAGACAGACATGATGGGATACAATGTGTCCCTTTTGCAGGCTCAGATGCATGCAAATAACAGACCCACATACAAAGGGGAAGAGAGGGGGAGCATGTGAGGAAGAACATTGTAATATTATGTTTGTTAAATGGGAATGAAAGAAAGGAAATCTCTTATTAATGTTCCTGATTAAAATGTATCACCTAAGGAAAAAACGAGAAAAGAATAGAAAAGACGAGAAGAGAAAGAAAAAGGGGGGGGGGGGGGAAATGGCCAACACATGGGTTGTATTACCAAATGCAAACAATTACCATTACCTCATGAATTCTAATTTAAAAGAAATATGGTAATTATTTTGTATGGAAATAAAACTGTGATAACATCTGATATTAAAAAAACATTAAAAGCCTCCTAATCATTTTGGGAAATAAAGAAACTACAATAATAAATATTATAATGATTTTCTTCTTATTGTGATTCTGTAAAGCCGCATGCTAAACCCTAAGGAATATGGTAAGAGAGAGCTGAGAAGAATCATCTTATCAACAGTAAGCTTGGAGTGGGCATTTATAGTATTTGCTTCAGTTCTTTAGGTTTGTTCTTCATATCTTGGCAGCCACATCTTTTTCAGATTCTGTTCACCTGGAGCCTAACAAGGAGCAGGGCGGGAGACAAACTAAAGAGGGAGAGAAGAAGGAGGAAGTGTGCATACGTTTGCTAGGGGACTGAGGGAGTGCTGCACCAGTCCTGCTTTTCACAGTTTCCATGAAAAATCCAAACTTGTCTGAAAAACATCTGTGTGTGTCTACAAAAGTGTTGTGGTCAATTGTGAATGCTGGCAAGGAAAGAAGAAAAGAATAAGACTTTCTCCTGGCTTCTCCTCTGAGGAATTATTAATTGTGAGTTGAGTATGAGGGGGAATTTGCCAAACATGCAGATGGTGCTATGGTAAACTTGTAGATGCTCTTGAATTTCTCGCATTGCAGCATGGCAGTACTGCTGTCAGCCATAATGGATACACCTGAACTAGTGCTGATGCTCACACACAAACACTGACACAAGCTCACACACACACGCACACACACATGCAGACACCCTGGCACACAGAGCCATCAGTAACCAGAGCCAGTGGCTGCTCTGCTCCAGCATTAATGGAGGGCCTGACCTCTGCTATGCTGAGTTATTTCCACCCTCCCCAAATTTTCAGACATCCAGAGGAAATAGGAGATGAGAAAAATGGAGAGAACGAGAGCATAGTATCCTACTTTTTTCTCTGCAAACCTTTAACTCATTTCATCTTGCCTCCCAATTTACAGGGTCCCAAGACGACTTATTCAGTAATGAGAAGGTGGGTTGAAGAAGAGAGTGAAGCCTGTTGAGAGAACAACCCACAGCGCTCACTACAGCTTTCAGGTGAAACCGACAAAATGCTGCCTTTCTGAGTCATTACCACCTCCTTGCTTCATGCCACTACAGCCTAAACTTTCACTAAGATGGAAGACTGAGTCTTAAACTATTGGTAACACTTTGCACAAGTGCATTTCTGCAGGGGTTGTGAATCTAAAATAAACACATCTTCACAATGATCTTTATTACCATGTCTATTTGGACTGTAGTTTAAAAAGCGGGAAATTACCCATTTCTCAGTACTTACTTCAAAGTCTAAATTAAATTTAGTTAATATTGTTAAAGCTACAATATATACTGTAACTTAAGGCAGTGTAGCAAGAAACCCCAAATCGATCACTCTGCTCCGCCCAGCGCTCCCTCTCTCTGTTCCACTATGCTTTACCACGATCTGTAACGCTCCACCACACTCTGCCCAGCTCTTCAGATTTTTGTCGTTAGGAAATTACACTAAATAGGAATGCAACAAAACTTGCCGATTGAGCAAAAATAATTGAAAATCTCTCACTGGACAGAGAGGTCAATCCCGCACTAAACCATTTAGAAGCTAATATCTCTGCACTGCTGCCAGTCTGGATCACAGAAGGCTTTGACAGACAGACAGACAGACAGACAGACAAGTTTTAAGCATATTTCTATATCAGAAACATTTGAAAAAAGCTACATACTGTAGCTTTAAATATAAACCTTGCAGAGAAAAACAGGAATAACTGCAGAAGTTGTTAGTGCCAATGAATGATTATAATAAGCATTGTGGGTTATAACCTTTAGAGTTGGTAAATTACATATCATCTAATTGGGCTCTAACTGGGTCTAATAATCAAATCAGCACTTTCAATAATTGGCTTACACTGGACTGGTTTTCACCTGTGCAGTGTTGTATGGTTCCAGTAGACAACATTATGTAGCTATTTACTTATGGTCTCACAGGTTGTCCCAGGAGCCTAACAGTCAAAATCACATACCATGAAAGCACAGTGTGCCCAGTTCAAATGTCATCCCAAACTGTGGTCATTGTGTGCTATGAGGTGGCAAACTTGGGCCTAAACATTAGTGTTATGATGAACAAAATTTCTTTTTAGGATTACCCTGATGTATTACTCAACACAGAGAATGACAATACCACACAGTTGGAGAAGCTGCCATCTACAGTAGGAGGTGCCCTGTAAGAATGTACAAAGAGACACGTCCCTGCTGTCTTTCTGCTAAGGACTGACTCGCTATCCCTGCCATGTTGAGACAGTCAACTCCAGGACCTTGACAGCGTGACTACTTTCAGATTAATGCAGCCATCGGTGAAATGTATTTGCGAGTATAGTCATTTTTATATAAAAAGACCAGCTTTTATGATTGCATTAGAAGCTACCCATGATGCTGGGTAAAGCTGGAAGTGTGCGGGGGAGTGTGTGATAGACACAGTAAGAATAATCCCTCAATAATTGCCTTTTATGATTAAAAGGCCACACATCATCACTTTACGGCTGCGTGGAACTTCCAGATTTTTTGAGCCTCTCAAGCATTCAGGGAATCAATGGAGAGCCGACCTAGGTGACATGCAATTAAATTGCCTGCTTCTCCCTATGCGGCAAGCAGCCTAAACATGCATGCAAGTAACCTGAGTCAAGGTGTGTGACAGAGAATTTATGTAGACTGTTCATCATGTGTTGTGCATAATAAATGTTAACAGGTATGGAAATTCCACACCTGGTATGTACTGTTCCACCTCCTGCTTTTTTGTGAGTTGTGATGCTTAATCAGGTACAAAAACACATCTACAGTACAGCGGCAAAGAAAAATCTGTTTAGAGATTATGTAAAACCTCATCAGAATCAAAATATGATGTGAAAGGAGGATCTCCAATGTGGAAATTTCATCTCCACAGCCCTATGTGTCATAAAGCAATCGCTCACTCACCTTTTGTGTCTTACTCTCTCTCACATGGTGGTACATTTCTAGATAGACTGTAATGTGTGATATGAAGGTACATTAAGACAGAGGTAGACAGTGTTGAGTGCAATCTCAATGTCACCTGAATCATCCCAGTGCAATTAATCTTGTCCTTGTTAATTCACTAATTTGTGTTTACGCCGTGCTCATCTATTTGTGAGAGGACATGCTACATAAACATCAATAGGATTAGGTTTCATTGATATTCATGAGCT